ATTTTTGTAATATATGTTGAACAACTTTCCAATATATATTGAATATATTTGTAATATAAATTGCAAGAAAATTGACATATGCTGAACAATTTTATAATACACGATCAACTTTTGTGTATTATACAGTTAATTTTTTTTAATACAGTCAACAAATTAAACACATACTGATCACATTTTAATAAATGAACCTTTTTATTTTTCTTTTAAACTTTAATAGGCTCTTATATATTGAAAGTCCTAACATAGGTTCAAATAACCGGTTTTTTGAAACAAAATTGACTAAAAAGCGAAGAAACGAAAACCCAACAAAAGAAAACTGCTCAATAGGGCGTGCCATGGAGTGGGCTGGCGGCCATTACCCATGTACTGTGCGAAGGGTCATCTACTTGACGCTCACGACCGTAAGCAAGAGGTCTAAGTGTCAAAGCAGTCTTCTACTCCCTCCGTTTCAAAATAGATAACTTAATTTTATACTAACTGTATACTAAAATTAATATAAAATTGAGTCATCTATTTTGAAACAGAGGGAATAGCTAGTATGCAGAAGCAGCCTGACCATACGTACAAGTGTAGTTAGGCGATCTTCAACATCGATCCCCAAAGTATACACGGTATCCATCCAAGGATAGCAATACGTGAGCCGGTCATTTTACCATGCTTGTATACATTTTAAATTAAATTTAAACAAAATAGATGGATTTCATTAATAATGACGGAGTTCACTGTAGTTCACTCATAATTTACATAAAACTTGCAATATTTGGTCCGCTTAACCTGCACTTAAAAAACTAGACTGTTTTGTAGCGGATGATGACCTCGTACACGTGGCCGGCTTGGCCAGCGGCACCGCCGCCGCCGTCCCTGCCAATGTCATTGGAGTGGTCCTACACACGCGGAATGGGGCGGGGACGCCGGAACCTTGCCCGGCCGCCGCCTGGCGCTCGTGAAATTAATGACTGTAATGACGTTATTAATTAATTAATTAATTAATATATAGAGAGGTGTTTTAAAAAGAAGATCAAATTCAAGATTACATAGCTCATCCATATAATTTATGAGTGACTCGCCAACCAAACTAGTAGAAAAAACACGTGCAAGTGTTTCTGGCCGGCTAACCCCCAAAGGACATAAGTGTTCGTGCATCAACCAGAATAGCCAACAAATCCGCCAAAATATTAAATAAAATTGGTGACTTGGGGTCACCTCGCCTCATTCCCATCTAGGTTTGGAAATAATGACCATTGTTATAATTGACCTTAACCCCAACACTCCCGCCCTAAATGTAAGATGCCACTTCTTGCCTCCATTCAGTCGCAAAACCTTTCATGTAAAGGGCTTGTGGAAGAAAATACCATTTTACTTTGTCGTAGGCCTTTTAAAGTCCACCTTAAAAATAAATCCATTGAGTTTCTTAGTGTGGAGCTCATGGATTGGCTCATGAAGGACATCCACTCCCTCAAGAATATTAGATGCTATATATGTTCAGTGCACGACCTTATGAGCAATAGTAGACAATCTATACGTTCATCAAGCAGCTAGGTCTAAATTATTCAATTCAAACAACATCTACTTTCTTAGGTAAAAGCATGGAAATTCCAAAAGTTGAGACAAAACAACCGAATATCGTCATTGTGTAGGTCCTCAAGAATTGGAAGAAGATCACCCTTAATGATCCCCAACCTTTTAGATAGAACTAAGTGGGGAACTCATCTGGTCTCGGCTCTATTACGATCCATCTGAGATATGGCCTAAAAACCTCATTTTACGGGAAAGGTGCTGTCAACACATCATTTTCCTCGGTGGAGAGTTGAGCTTTATCATCAGTGGTATCTTCCACCAGGGATGTAAAATTGGATTGTGAAGAGCCAAAAAGACTCTATAAAAGTTAGTAATGTAAGCTTTCAGATGGTCCAAACCCACAATGGCCCTCATCTTGTTCAAGCTGAAATATTTTATTTCTGAGTTTTCCATTTGCAATCAAGTGGAAGAACTTCGTATTAGCCTTCCCAGATAAATTTTACTTTTGCCTGTCGAGCACAATTAATTTCTTCCTCACGCAAAAGGTTGGCCAAGAATTCGTCCGCCTCTGGCTTAGGCTCACAATGTGTTGTGGAGAGGGGCATGGATTCGACCTTAATGTCCAAAGTACTAACAATTGCGAGGAGACATTATTTTTCTAATACGCTTAGCCCAACCGTGAAGGAATTTCCTAAGGTGCCGAATTTTCAATTGCCACTTCTCAATGTTAGTAATTCCTTCAGTCCCCTTTGACCATTCATGAGCTACTATTAAGAAAACCTTCCCTCTCAAACAAGGATGTTTCAAAGGAAAAATGAGCCTTGACCTGCCCACTAGAATTCAAAAGGAGAGAAGTGTGGTCGGAGGTACTTCTCTGGAGAGCACAAACCATCACCAAAGGAAATGTCTGCTCCCACTCCACACTCATCAACACATGATTCATCAATTCATAAATCAGTGAGGGTAAATTATTAACCCAAGTGAATTGGCGACACAATAAAGCTATCGCCCTTAGGTTCAATTTTTTAACAATGGCATTGAACATGAATGGCCATCTTGCATCGAAATTATATTAAATTTGAGGTTCTGGATATGGAGGTTGGTGACTTTGTGGTCAAGTTTCATGTTCAAATTATCGATATTAGAGAGTGTTCTCTGGGCTTATCCAGAAACAATAGTGTGCAACGACAGAAAAATGAATGGCACGAGAGGGAATCATTCTCCCTCGTCTTCAGCGGCTGCTTGGTGCCGGGAAGTGGGGGATACCGGGATTTTAGATAGGGACTTTTGGCAGTGTCTCCTGCTGTTGGCGGTCATGCAATGGCAATGCCGACACATCGAAATAGGGTTTACTCTAGGTCATTTCCCGATGGCGTTGTGGATCTTGGGAGGATTCGTATCCTCTAAGCCAGTGTGTGTGCTTAGTGGAGGAGTGGGCAGGAGGTTTGGATCGAGATCCAGCTTCTATGATCTGGTCGCTGCAAGCGATCGCTAACAGGGGATCATGGTGGGCGAGGTGGTCAGAGCTGCTGCCTCTCTTCAATGGTGGCCGGAGTTCGTGGCATCTCCGAGGAAGGTACATAGGTCAAAGTTTCATAACTACCTTATCCCACACAAATCGTTTACCTATAATGATTCACTACCCTTATGAAAAAGCAATTACACCAGAGCGTTTCCGAGGGCGAATCCACTTTGAATGTGATAAATGTATTGCTTGTGTTAGGAAATCATTGGGTTCGTGGCATCTCCGTGGAGTCCCTGGTTCACGTCCGTCGCGACAGGACCTTTATGCGCCTCACAAAGCCAAGCTATGGCGATGGTGCTCCTAATACCCATTGTCTTTAGTTAGGTGGCTTCGCCTTGCTCCGAGGAGGTGTGGGTTCATCCTGGCTAGAGGAGGGAAGATGAACAAGAGCTGAGGGACTTGTGCATGATTTCTGTTATTTGCAGGATGTTGTGTACGATTTGGTTGGACATTTGCTGGTTGTATCTACGGTTGATGTATGGTGTACATCGTTTGTACTCGTGGTTGTATGGTGTACGATTGGTTTATGAATACGGGTACTTTCTCAAAAACGGTTTCATTTTCAATCAAGAAGTGATGGCTTCTCATGGGATCTTTTGATTATTTATGGGGCAGCACGCCAGAGCTTAAATCAAGAAGTGATGCATATGTGGGCGAGGATAAACCCTCTTTTTGAAGATAAAAGATTATCTCACATATTCCTTTTAGTTAACGTCGTTGGGTTATTCACATAAGGTGATCGGTCGGAGGTGGTGCTCAAAGCCTAGCAAACGTGCTTGAGCTTATTGCTTATGTCGATTTTCTGGTAAGATGGCCCGTAAAAATCAGACACAAATGTTGGTTGACTGCACGCATATTCTTGTATTCTTAACAAAATTTAGGTGGCCAAGTATTCACCATACGGTTCAAGCTTTTGAACCATACATGGCCAAAACCGTCGTATTGCATGGCGGATGTTTGTGGTGTTAGCTTAGGCCTTTTGGAATTGTTGTAACAAACTTGCTGCCAAGGTAGTCATTCCAAACCACCCCGTCGACTACATTTTTAAAAGATCAATCTTCTTTCAGTTGTGGCTGCCTCTCTGGGCAACAGGAAAGACATGGCGACGGCGAGCGTGATGCTGGGAAAGATTAAGACGATCCACAACGTAGACATGCAACAACAGACTAATCTTCGGCAGCCGTGAGCTTACATTTTGTTTCATCTCTGAACTTATTGCTCTCTGTTTGAGCCCCGGGATGTACCTTTGTTCCTTTTATTTTTTCTCCTAAATCCATTTGCCGTTCCATTGCCATGGGGTTGCTTGAGCAGAACAAACATTAGTACATGTGTTTTTAATTCGCTACTGGGAAGCTTGGGCTATGTGGCATCCCTGAATTCTACTCATTTAACTATAGTCCTAGCAAAACTCTTTTTGTAGAAGAGGAATACGATCTCAGATTCTCAGCTAACTGAAGTTGGTCACCCTCTGCCCCTGGACTGAAAGCATGCAGGCCGCCATCCAAACGATGGAGACACACGAGCATTTGAATTTCAGAGGCAAATTTTGGAGACAAACGATGGAGACACCTTGGGGTTTGTATTCAGACATCAGGTTGGTCCCTTGGTTGTGGGTCAGTTGCTCAACACGGCTCATCGTACCATTCTGATTGCAGCACTGGGAAAATGATACATATATGAACAGTCAGTGCGGCTCTGCACTGGGACTGAACATGCTACAGTATGAACACGTCCTCTGTAACGACATTCACTACAAGAGAACTTCTTGTTGCCAGGCAGAGACAGTGTTAGCTAGCAGCAGCGCAAGCAAACAGATTCTCCATCAGAGATAATGTCCCGGCTTACAATATGACATTGAGCAAAAGATAAACGACAAGTACCAACAGAACATAACACCCAAATACTAGCAGCATTGAAGAGTCTTGTACATTTGCAAGTGCCGATTCTAATCCTTGGCTCAGTCACCACCTCCTCGATCATATGATTTGCTCCAGAGTGGGTAGGGTAAAAAAGCATTCCATTGCTCAAGTGAGTAGGCCATTTTACAGACCATCACAAGGATGTGACAACACTAGACATACAAGCAAGGGCACAATTTAGCAAACTTGGAGCATCCACACAAGGATCAGTCAAAAGGATCATCCACTGACAAATCGTGAGTACGTACGTGGCGGGTGAATTTATTAACTTTTACTTCAACCCGTGCATCTCGAGAAGCTCTATTCTCCGCTTGTAGCTGCCTACGTAGATAACACGTCCAGTCGTCGATGTTGCAGTTGGATTTGTAGCTGTAACGGGCCCCGATTTCCATTTTCCTTAGCACTTTCGCGTTCAAAAGAAAGAACTTGGCAAAGTCGATATATAGCCTATGACCACCACAGTAATTCTTCAACACCACTTCTTTTAGATGGAGTTCAAGGCATTCAATTGGATCAAGCTGATCATACTTCCCCGCAATATTCGTATTCCTTCCTTCACTAAACTGGGGACAGAAAAAGGAAATGCTATTAAGGCAGTTGATGACAAATTACAAATTAGCGCGTAAATACTCCTAGTTCACTTTATCAGAAGTCTGAAGCACTGATGTTTTGGCAACAGATAGCAACACTCACAATGACATAGAGCTTCTCCAAGCAGGGGAAGCACTTGAGGAAGTCAACAACAAAATCCAGATTCGGAGCACATTCAAGAACCAAAATCTTCAGTGCGCGCATTTTGGTTGTCATGGTGACAACAATCATTCTCTGGGGAAAAGGAAACCAAGTGTGTGATATCAGAATAATACAGTAGGCTGCATATAAGGAAAGCTGAATGTGCTACTACCTGAAAGAGTGTGGTTCCAAGGTGGAGCCTGGGTATGCCTTGAGACAAGAAACCAAGTACCTCCAGCTTCGGAGCCCGGATTACCCGTATGGTCACCGGCCCATCGTCTGGGTAAATTGGCAGCAGCCTCTCAAGGCAAGGGGCGTCGTCGATGACCAGCTCCCGGAAGGCGGCGACGACGCCTTCGTCGCGAGGAGGATAGAAGGCGATGCTCCGGAGAGTCGGCGAGCTGATGCAAAGGCGACCGAAGCTCATGTTGTGCAGCGAGATGCTTTGGAGAACAGCGCAGCTGGAGATGACGCTCTGCAGAGAGTCCTCCGAGATGCCAACATTGAACAGCATGATCTGCTTGAGGTGCGGAAACCTCGGCGGCGGCGCGGCCGGGCCGGGGAACCGGCAGCCGCCGAGCCTGAGCGCGCATAGCGTGGGCGCGAAGCGCGCCAGCGGGTGCGGCGGCAGCGAGTAGTGGCTCCCCCAGTCCAGGTTGGTAACCTCGAGGTCCTGGAGGCCGGCGAGCGACGCGGAGCGGAACCAGCCGTCGGCCTCGCCTAGGCTGTCCGGGGAGAAAGCGAGGCGGAGCGAGAGGCGGCGGGCCGGGCCGGGGTGGCCGGAGAGGATCCTGGAGACGAGCGCGGCCAACGAATCGTCGTCGCCCGCGAGGTCGGGGGCCGCCGCGAGGTTGAGCGGCGCGTCGGCGGAGCGCCAGAGGTGGCGCCATCGGCGGGAGAGGGCCTGCGTGCGCGCCCCGTCCTTTGTGGGGAGGAGAGAGACGACCGTGCCGAGCACCGCATCGGGGAGGCGGCTGATGAGGTCGAGGTTGACGCCCCCCGGCGACGGCGGATCCTGCTGCTGGTCGTCGGCCAGGACGGGTCTGCGCCTCTTCCTGACTTGCATTTCGGGGGTGGCCGCCGCCGCCGCCGCGTCCTCCGTGGCCGGCGGTTGGCGAGCCTCGCGGCAGTGGGAGGGAAGGGGATTTGAAGTTTGACTTGTTCAGCAGTGAGCGGTAGCGAAGGGGATTTAGGAAAGAGACGGAGGCAGCGGGCGAGCGGCGTCACAACGCAGCCCAGGCCCAGGCCCAGCCCCAGCCCGTTACTTACTCTCTCCTTCGCAATGTACGGGCTCATTTTACAAAAGTTAATTTATATAAGCAATATCTTAAACTTTTATCGCGAGAAAAAAAATACTTCCTCCGTTCCACAATGTAGTGCGTATAGATTTTTTTTTGTAAAGTCAAACTTTACTAACTTCAATCAAACTACTCCCTCCCGCCGCCACATCCTCCGTGGCCGGCGGTTGGCGAGCCTCGCTGCACTGGGAGGGGATTTGGAGTTTTTTTTTTAAAAATTGAAGGGGATTTGGAGTTTGACTTGCAGCAGAGAGAGTGGTAGTGAAGGAGATTTCGGAACGTCCAGAGAGAGAACGAGCGGCGTGACAAAGCAGCCTAGGCCCAGTGTTTGGATGGCCTGTACTCCATCATTTTTCTTTATTTAATTATAATCTCGCTTCCTCAACAAAAATTATAATCTCGTGCACGCAGGCACGCTCCTCTCAGAAAAAAAATAAAGGTGCACACGACACGAGCTCTGGATAGTTTATGCTCAACACTGAAGAAGGAAATCGAGAAAAAAAAAGCGTTGCACAATTTTGAGAAAAATAATGTACCAAACCATAGCCAGAAACCAGGTTTTGGTAATGTACCTTTACCCTGTATAGTGTTGTTGTTTTTTTATACGCACAAGCTTGCATATCATATATTCATAGAAGAAAAGGTAAAGCATCCGTTCACAATGTATAAGTAGGCCCTTGGCCTACCAATTCGCTAGACTTACTCTTCACTAATACCCCGCCTAGATAGAGCTTGGAACAAGCGTGTCATACCGGTCTTGAATTTCCCCACCATGCTCCAAGCTCTACCCTCGTCTACAATTTTACTACCTCCGTCCGGATTTATAGGTTCCGAAAGCCAAAACGGCAAGACCAGGACGCAGCCATCATGAACAACATACACACCTCCGGCTTAATTTATTGCAGGAATTTAACTGGCTGCATGCATGCACTTAGGGTCTGTTTAGTTCCAAATAAATCACCAACTTATAAGTTAAAAAGTGAAAAAAGTGGCTTATTTTACCAAACAAACGCGACTTATAAGTCACCCCAACTTAAGACTTATAAGTCACCCCTTTTTACGTAGGTCACATCACATGCATGATGTGAATTGGTGTGGGAAGGTGTGTCAGGTGACTTATAAGCCAGGTGACAGCCAAACAGGCGTGACTTATAAGTCACTGGTGTGTTTTTACTGGCTGCATGCTCCTAGTCGTAGTTAACACATGCAGCAGAAGCGGGATCGAGGCAAGATACTGCGCATGTAGTTGCAGCGGCCTTGTAAAACCGAACGGGCTAGCGTGGCTCAGGGGACCGCTAATCCCGGACGGAGGTAGTACATAAGGGATGTGGCGTTCTGGTGCTCCAAGTCTCTCGCATCACAAGAGCATAACCGTGTGGATATCCTGCAGCGCGATGTTCAACCATATCTCAAATTCGGTAGCCCAAGCCCGCCAGACCCCTTGTGCATGCAGAGTACCTCATCCGTGTGATACTAACCAAAGTTTCGGGCGGCACATCCATAGCCATCAATGAATTGGCATCGCACATATGACAGACTGAACTGGACCCAGATGACCTGATTTGTCCATACTAGTACAAATGCCTGTGCGTTGCAATGGGCGAAAAATATCATAAAACTTGCTGCGTGTGATAGTAGGCGCCATTCGTAAAATCTGCTCCGTGTATGATAGTACCCACCATTCATAAAACATGCTCCGTGTGATAGTACGCAACATTAGTTAAACTTGCTCTGTGTGTGATAGTACGCCCCATAAAACCTGCTCCGTGTGATAGTACGCTACATTTGTAAAACCTGCTCCGTGTGTGATAGTACGCGTCATTTAAAACCTGCTCCGTGTGATAGTGCGCACCATTTCTTATGTATAGTTCTTATAAACATCAGTAATAAGTTTATACTGTTATCGCTTTTCGAAGTATGAAGTGTGGACGTAAAGAAGCCACCCTAACATCCTTCATATGATGGAAGAGTAGTGGTGCATGGATAGTCTAGTAATCAGTTTTATATTTTATTTATCACAAAAACAAAAATATTTATTTATTTTAAAATAACTTAACAATTTAGAAATTTTAATATTTTTATTAGAATTGAAACATGTTTTGAAAATGAACATTTATTTGAACACATGTTTTTAGCAGGATGTACAGATGGTGGAATTGCTGTGTACTATCTGAGAGTTTAATAACTAATCAAAAGTTTTCCTTAGAATTTTCTAAAGAATGATTTTTTGGATGAAAGAGTAATGGCACATTGAAGTGGGATTCTTTATATACAATTTTTTGTTTATAATCGAAAGCAAACAGATTTTTTACTTTGTTAATTATTTTCTAGAAAATGTTAGTTATTTGATTTGCAAGATTATATTTCGCTCATTTTCTTTTGCACTATTTGAACTTGGCCATCATCACCATAAAAAAGCAAGCTTTTCTCTTTTCCCTATCAGAGATAATTTTTTGTAAATTTTTGGTGGATTATAAAAAAAATTAATTTCAAGATGCACAGTTGTCACATTCTTTCTACTCTTCATCGCTCTGTCTCTCCTCCCTGCCTGACCAACGATGTGTCTCCCTGTCTGACCAACGATGTCGGTGACATCTAGAGTTGAGGAATATCTTAATTGTCAGTAAATCGCTTTGAGCTCCAAATATCTTCTCCCTCAAGGGATATTTATTTTCCATATTTCACTCACTTTTAATTATTGTATCTGATGATGTATTCATAAGATGTGGTAGACATGAAGAGTAAACAACAGCAAGTAATTATATCGGTGCTCATTCAGTTTTTTTTTTTTTTTTTTTGCAATGGGTGCTTAGCACGCATAGTCCAGCAGCTTCTCTACCGAGAGCCATTAAAAAAGTGATCCTAAAAAAGCCATTAAAAAAAGAAATCCCCACCGAGCTCGGCGTGGACCTTTATCCACATCGCCGTTCCTTCCCTAGCTCGGCGTGGACCATAATCGCGTTTCAGCAGCCGCCACAACAACCGGTCAACTCCCCCATGGCAAACCAGCCCGTTGCATTGCAGTTTCTGTCGCCGGCGAGATCAGAAGGTCGTGGCGCCAGACAAGTAGCATTGCAGCTCCGCCGCCGGCAAGATCCGTGCGTTGCAGGAGCGCCCACGTTGCGTTGCAGCTCCGCCACTGGCGGGCAGCACAACACACGTTGCATTACAGCTTCGGCCGCATCACCTCTTGTTGCAGTGCAGCTCAGCCTCACGACTGCTGCATGGCAGCTCCGGCAACGCCGACGTGCTCCGCGTCACAGCACCGGCACCGACGAGCGCCGTGTCGCCAGCAGGGAGTCACCGACGAAGCTGCGTTGTAGCACCGGCAGCCCCCGACTAGCGCCACATTGCAGCACCGAGTGAACGATGAGGCTGCGTTGCACAACCAGCAGGCCCCGACAATCGCCATGTCGCAGCGCCTGCAAAACTGTCGAATGTTGCATCGCAGGACCTGCAACCGTCGACGAGCGATGCATTGCAACGCCCGCAAGACGAGTCGCCAACAACGAGGCTGCGTTGCCGCACGCCGACGAGCCACATCGCAACACCGGCGTGTGGAACTTGGGAAGCAGTGCTTGGAGCTTGGGCAGCAGGCCATGGCGGACAGAGCTTGGGTAACAGCCATGGAGAGAGGTGAGGGATGAACATGGGATTGAGCTCTATGAAAAAATGAGTGCTGCTGCAACGAGGAATGCGTTGCAGCCGCCAGCGAGTCCGCATCGCAGCACCGCGTGTCGAGTTGGGAGCAGAGCTTGGGCAGGGCCATGGCAGAGAGAGCTGGTAAGAGGTGCGGATCAAAAAATGGGGCCATCGAGTTTGTTGAAAAGAATGAGTGGTTGATGCGAGTCGCATTTTCAGTCGGTTGAAAGCAATTGTTTTCCCTTGTTGATTCGTGCAACTCTGAACGTATATAAGCTGCTAGGATTTGATGTAAACACGTGTGGTGAGACTAATAATCAGAATCTGGAAATTTTTAGCACAGGCGGAAGAAAACTCTGTTAGCTGCCTCGTTAAGGGAGGGGAGGTCAGAGGGAGGTCCTATATGACGCTCTTTGCGTCAAGTTGCTGGTTTTTCGCACAGAGCCTCCACTTGGCGGGCTTGTTGGGCCGTTTTCTGTTTCTACTGCTGTTCGCTTCCCTTCTGTCTAAAAAAGAATTTCCACGGTTGCAGGGATTCGAACACAGGTGTTTCGCACAGAGCCTCCACTTGGCAGGCTTGTTGGGCCGTTTTCTGTTTCTACTGCTGTTCGCTTCCCTTCTGTCTAAAAAAGAAGATTCGAACACAGGACCTAACACTATACGAAAAGTGGTACTACCAGTTGAGCTATCAGCCTTTAATGATTCTTCAGCAGCTCCAAGCTTAAAGAACCAAACACGTAGCACAGTCCAAAATATATATCTTGAATTTCAAAAGCATTTTTATTAAAAAAACCGAAGGGATCTATGACACACAAGCAAATTACTGATTTGCAAAAAAAAAAAGAAATGTTTGCAAAAATCAGGAACATTTTTTTTGAAACGGGAACTTTTTAAAACTCCAAGGCAGAAATTAAAAACACGAACATATTTGAAAAATGTGAAAACAAGTTCATTTTCTGAAAATTTTAAACTGAACAATTTTCAAATATGCTGAAAAAAATGAAAACATGCACATTTTTGAAAATTGCAAACAATTTTTGGAAACGAGAACATTTTTGAACTGCCCAATTTTTTTTTTGAAATTTGTGAACAAAAAGTTGAAACTGAACAATTTCAAAACTCCTGA